TCTTCATCCACCAATTCAGGTCATATAGACCCGACGCGACTACTTAAAGGTTAAGATTAACTTTTCGATATTACAAATGACTTTCAGTCATTTTAGCCAGCTTGGTTTGGATTCAATAACCCATTTTATTGTAAAACGCCGATCTTCATATACTTGATTATAGCATTAGTGATTTCGATTTTCCGTAAACTTCAAATTAACTAGCTTTTTCAGTATTTGTATTTATTGATGCCATAAAGGAAGATACTTCTTTCTGCTTTCAGTGCCCTCACATACTGTGCAACAGCAACACAGTTAGATACTCATAGAAAGTAAGAGACGGCACTACTGATTTTCTGTACATCTCAATTCTTGTGTTCGGGAATATGAAGTTTTCTCTCGTAGCGAAACTCTGAGCATCGGTGATAATCACTGAAGACCTCACTTAGATCATTTCCATACAAGTCAGCGAGGAACATAGTCCGACTATGTTAAACCAGAAGTCAAGTTTAGCCTCATACACCTTCCATCAAGAATCAGGCATTAAAGACACATATCAGAAGTTTGGTATATAAATATAAAGAACATATGCAAAATTCAAGAAATAAACTATCAACAGAAAGCATTCACCTTATATAACTTTAATACTACCGTATAAACACCAGCTATCAAATTAGCATCAACCGTAGAAGCTTACTCTCTTTTAGTTAAGAAGAGTTGGTACAAACTAAGTATTATTGTATTTCACTTATTTATACATTAAATATATCAGGGGTGTCTGATGAATCGTTTTATTTTCGTAATTTCTTCTAAATCGGTTAACAGCTTTGACCCATACGCAAAACAATTTACATGAAGCTTCTATCGGAACGCAGCACTGATTTGAACTTAAATTTCAAAAATAATTTCTTCAGTTAAGTACATTTTGGATGTTAGGCAGCGAAGCCATGTGTAGTTGTCATTTTATTTTGAATGAAAATTATAATTGAAATCGGATTCGGACTTTAGTTGCATTTAGGCCAGTTGCAGTGGCAAATATGTAAAATACGCATTGCAAAATAAAACATGTTTTGGCATTGGAATGTTCATTCCAGTATCCTACCGGGTTTTCGTATATCGTATATCCACTAGGTGTACAGTTCTCTTCTTCAGTCTCTTCTGGTGTCCATAGTTACTGTTGTTACTCTTTCCACCGGACATTTTCGTAGTTTTTTTATTGACCAGATGGCTACAATTCCCGTGGCTTGCTTTCGATGCAACTGTTGTACATCTTTGGAAATTGTACTGTTACTATAATCTACAGAAATTGTAGATTCTGAGAAGTAGCATTAACAAGTTTCTACTTAAACGATGAAAACAGAAACGAATGCAATAACTGTATTTCCAGCATCAACATGTTTGCCTCACTGAAGAATTGCCACAGTATCTCTCTTTTCATCATCATAAACATGATAGCAGCCAACTTTTTAGTACTCTGAAGGTTGCAAGCCGACAGTTAATACATGAATTTGGTTCTTATATACATTAGGGGTGAATCATTTTAGTAACATTACAAATCGTTTTCTGATCAGGGAGTATAACGTGAAGAACGCGTTAAATTGGATTATTCTTATCAAGAGTAATTAGAGAAAGTGGAGATGATGAAACGGGTTACAGTGTCACATAGTGTACAAATGCCTCGATTCCATATTCCAATAACTAAGAGCATGACTTACCGAAATTACATGCAAGAAATACAGAGTTACATATAAGATACACAGTAAAACATTTTTTAGGCCAGTATTGAACGCCTGGCATCTATTTTAATTTAAATTGTTCATTTTTTAAATGATGATTCACGCAATTCCTTTAACTGAAACAGAAAAAAATTAAAAGATCTTCCCTCTGGTTGAAATCCCCTGTTCAAAAATGTAGATTTTAATACGTAACTATCAGTCTTCTCCCTTATTTATCTCTTTTCCTTGATCCTTTCTGAGCATCTTATCTTTTCTATATTTGCAGTTTAAACATTGTCTTGATTTGTTCTTATATGCTGTTTTATTGGGAAGAGTAGATCCCTTATCCTCTTTCAACATTCTGCATGATCTTTCATGCACCTAAAACCGTAATTTCTACGTTGAAAAGGAAACACGTTTTGTGGCTCTGAAAAATCCGCTAAAAATTAAATAATTTTCTCAGGTATAGAGGCAATTTCTCTATTTGAAAACATGCGCTTGATAGCAAAAGATGTCTTTGCTGCCTTTCTGAAAGCGTCAACAAATCCGAACGCAACTTTAGTCTATCTCTTTTCAGCTCATTACGATGAGGCCAACCATTCACAACTATTCTGTAAATTGAACGCAGCGGCACACTTGTTGATGTCGATGTTGCGCAAACAGTGAAAACCATCATAATTCCCATGTTGACGTCTGACATAATAACACGCCAGTATAAGACTAAATTCAATGAACAGTTTCTGTAACGGTGAGCAACTCACTATTTTTGAGTAGTCCCCCGTCATAACAATACATGTGCAGGAAATGATTTTCTGTCACGCAGGCAACGTTTAAAACAGAAGGCGTATTCTCCAGCGGATTGATTGCATTTATTTATAGTCAGAAGTCTAATACAGCTTCCCATTAAATTGATGTATCTGAGAAGCCTCATATAGGTTTTAAACTTCAATGAAAAGGTATTAAGAATTGGTTTGGTGTTTAAAATCAAAGTTTCTGATAACGCCTTCCAAGATTTCAGTTTCCTTAGTTAGCATGTTCTCCACCAAGAATGGGATATACAGAAACTTTCGGTCATACATACCATTGGCTAGCGGCAAGCCAAATAACAGCAAGGCGGAAGAATTTACATTAGCCATCTCAGATTTCGTAGGTGGTCGGACTTTTGTTAAAGTAATGAAACGTTCGACTTAGACATAGAAATTCGGCACTACCGACAAAATTCTTGGAGATGAGATCAAGCAACTTTGCAACGCCTTTCATAAAACATGCCTAAGTTATTTGAATTCTGTTTTAATCCATTTTCATTTCGGCTGCAAGGGTTAATCGAAATTGTTCAATTACCATTCTCGTCTATCACAAAAATAATTCGTTGATTTTTAAAGGATACGCTGAAACTTTTTCCAAGGACGGACCTTGTAATCTGCATTGTACAAGAATTCTGCTCATCGTCCTTGCGTGTCAATTAACTACGTCGCTCATTCAATTAATAGTGAAGGTTATGGACGCACTTACACCTCAAGCACCTTCAATACCTTTAAAAAAATTCAGCGAATGCAAAGGGCCATTGAATGTTACCTCCCAGGTTCACTCCAACACTTGTTTTATCGTCTCCGTGGTAGAAAACGATCACCGATAGGACGAAGCGAATATCACCCTGACCGCTCAGCAGAGGCAATGAAATTACTGATCAAATAATCACTGCACATCAGTGAACTCAGGCGTTTTGCCACAGCTCGGATGAGTTTGTTTCACACTGCTAAAGCATAGGTTCCAATCGACTTCTCACATAATTTCTCTACGTTTTGCTATCACTCATTATTGCAGCACCACGTACATGTATTCCGTTAAACCCACCTTATCTCCCCCGGACGACGAACCATTCCTCAAGACCTGGTACTCGTAATGTGACACTATTTAAACAAAAATGTTTGCATACCGGAGCGTAAAACTGATCTATTGTCGTACAAAAAGTTTGCTAAATCATATAATATTATTCATTTATTCAAATTTAAATTACGTTTTCTTAAGCTTTTTATTCGGACATTTGCCATTCTGGCTTGAGAAGTCTGTGTTAATGAATTCATATAGCTCGCCAGAATGCGATCCAAGCAGCATTGTATTTTTCAGCTCCATCTGGCTCATTGAAACGAGGCTTCTTAAACTATAGCTAGTTTTTAGTATGGGTGAAATATCCCTCGCGGAGACGCCGGGGAGACATCGGATTATGGACGAAGCTTGGCTTTGCAAATACTTCAGATTGTCCGCCACTTCAGTTTTTCCGTAGCTAACTGCTTTGTTGACGTCTGGTTCCTCTCGTTTCCATTTGAAATCGATCATCAATTCGGCGGCGGACAGCGGCGATGCGGCCCAAAGCAGCCTCAGAGTCGGGAAGTTTAGGGTCAGAGCGGCCAGCTTAGCCGCATATATATCACCGAGATGCCTCCAGGTTTTCTTGCAGTCGCTCAGTTCGATGAGTAGCGTTGGACGATCGTAAAAGCTGCACATCGCTTGACATTGTAGATACAGTCTCCCATGCAGAAGCGAACCTATCAGGTCAGCGACGGCTTTTCTTTCGATACAGATTTGCGGCGACAAAACATAATCGCCAACGGTCAGAATGACCGGAGCCAACTTAATGCCCTTCGTATGAAGATGAGTGGGCAGTTCGGATCGGAATTCTCGCATGTCGACGACGATAGTCTGTTCAGTTATAGCTGAACCTTCGTCAGTGGCCACTGCTTCGACAGTTTTCTGAACGACCAAATTAGTCTCTTCCTTGAACAGCTGCTCAAACGAATTTCTTTCACGTCGCATGGCGCACAGGTAGCGCTGTTCCTCCGCTGACTTGTCGTACATCAGAAAATAAATTTTGAACGCAACGCCACGGTCGACGGCTGTCGTATAGTACATTTCGACTTGACGCACTAACCACAGGTCCACGTCATACATGACCACTACGGCGGGGGATAAATAGAACAGGCCACGTAGCACTGAATATCGCTGTTTCAATGGCAACAGTACAACAGACGCTGTTTTCCTCGTGGAGACGCCCAAAATATTCGTAATTTCTGTCTCAACCACAGTTCCATGAGGTAAAAAATGGTCACTTCTTTCGTCGTGGTCGGCGACCTTGATCCAGCGTTCGACGACCTCGCCCAACTGTTTCGCCACGCCGTCGTCGCACACGAATACCAATACAACAATAGACGGCCGGCCAGCATGAACTGTGAACGTCTCGAAAGCCTCCTTCAATACGGAATTGAGTGCCTCCCATTTGTTGGGAACCTCACCAGCTATCTTCTGTCCGATGTCGAACAGTTTTTGGGCAGTGGCAGTGAATAGCCAACCGCTGCTGTTGTGAAAAATCGCTTCATTGCGCTTCAGAACGTTCAGCAGTGCAGAAAACGTCTTCCCGTCGTCATGCTCCAAACTTCTCAGCATTCGTTTGATGTCGTTTATGTCTACAAAGAATCTGAGTTAGTGTACAAGATTACAAACAAACATACATGCACACTTGTTTATGGAATCCCGTAAGGATATGGATCGGGATCTCTTTATAAAGAGATGATTCAGAAATGGCACAGTTAAAGCTACACCAAATAGTAGAAAGTATGGAGTGTTCAAAGATCCCAGCAGGGAAAAGTAGAAAAATATGATTAAAGTGAGAGTCTACAGAGTGAGTGGCTAAACCAAAAAGTCAAATGGCACATTGCTACCATTTTCGAGTATACTACGTTTAGCACTGTTAAGAAAAGTAGTTGAATGGACCGAAACAAATAGAAATTATCAAGGAAACTAAAGGAGCGGTGAAGAAACAAAATAATTAAATCTGTTTGGCCCAAGTGGATATGAGAAGCAGAATATATAAGTCAATGAAGTCACAAATAATTTTTCATATATTAGACTTAGACAGGCTGATAATGACTGCTTACTGATTGTTTAAATAGTTTTTGCTGCTCTGTACAAGTTACCGATTACTGAATCACTACTTCATCATGTCGTAGGCTCACTAAAACCATCCTCACGTCTTTGTCCCAACGAGCGGACAATGATCAAAGTACGGAATTGCCTAACTGGGTAAAGTACGAGCCGAGTCACTACAGTATTTGTGTTGACCTATCGTGAATCGTAAAACGGTTATCGAACGAGGCTCTGGTGGATCATTATGAAATTCTGACTGGTAGTCATAACCGCATAGTGGTTTGGAAGCGGCTGCCACTATTCAGCGAGTCGGCAAGTGAGCTCTCCTCCGTGGAAAGCAACGGCGCAATCATACGCGGACACCTGCTCGCTGGAGTAACGTTGTTATTCCACCACATTCTACCTTTTTTACGGTCCAAGAAAGAGTATAA